CCTAAAAAAATGCTCTTGAAAGCAGCTAATGCTACAAAGCAGTCAGGAGCATTGTGGCTATAGGCCCTGCTGTCTTCCTCAGGAACCCTGATACCAGGGTTGCCAGCTGTGTGAGGTGATTAGAGTGAGATTTTCATGTAGTTGGAGTGAGACTGGAGTGCATATCCACTATTTAAAACAACAATTTCAACCACAGCTTGAGCCTATGAAGAGGGGCTGAGATACACGTCATCACTAAGGACTGACCGTCACGCCGGAAACCCTTCATTTTTCACTCAGTCCACATCGGAGACTCGTGTGAAATGGCGTGCAGAGAGTTTACAGCTGCTGAAGTTGCTGCAGCAGTTTTGGAAAGTAGTGATGAAGATTCAGACTGAATCAAGCCATTAAAATTACGTATCTTGAACAGATGTGTTGTCTTGTTTGACTTGAGATTTCTTTGTGCAGATTGGAAGTGTGAGAAAAGATCCAAAACCGTAAGAGCTGGCAACCCTGCTGACACTGCCAAAACCAACATAGGTCTACAGAGCTGAACGTTGAAAGCCTTGTTCTGTTTTCAACAACCCTTATAGCAAGAGGATAGTAGCCCACTGTTGGCCCACTGAAGGCAAAGCTAGTGGTCCACTGGCGTTTTGCTCAGCGTTTTCTGGGCGGCTCATCAGTGATTAAGCAGTGTTAGACTAAATTCCACTTATCATCGCTTATTTTACTCTCACAGTCCAATTTACTTTGTTTTCCTTCTTTCCTCTTTTAGTTATACTTTGTAAATTCATTTAGAAAATAATTTTAATCCAGTACAGTGTCAGCAACAACATTTTCTATACAATTATTTTATATCGGGCCTGGTCATTATTTTGTTTTCTTTCATTTGTTTGTAATATTTGTCTTAGTTTATTTTCTGAAGTCCCTGTGCATTAAAATCAGATTGCAGATTGCATTAAAATCAGATTGCAGATTGCATCAAACTGCTCACTGTACACAATACATTCATTTTGGGTCTGGGTTCATAATTTAAATATAATTTTTTGTGCTACTCCACTGTAACCAGTCTCACAAAACAGAGGTTGTTATCTCACTTTAACACTGACTGAAAAATGGTTCTTTTTAATGGAAAAAGCTGTGCACTTTGAAATGATTCTGTGTTTATGTAGTCCAAAAACAGATACTTCTCGTTTAGTTTGAACTGGAAAATTGTCCCCTTCCTCTCTACAAGTCAGTGTATCTCCAACTGCATGTTGGACAACAGTTATATATATCGCTGCTGTTGGAACAAAACCTTGTATCTCCATTTTTGTCATTTTTCAGTTTCTGACATAATTTCAAAATGCCTGCTGGCCTTTAAATTGTGTGTAAATTTCATGATGAATGGGTCAAAAGAAATGACCCAAAATGACTTGTAAAAAATTCTGGTTCCATTGATTTACATTAAAAGTAAAGTAGGTTTTTTCCTTCTCCTGTAAAGTTACCATTTTGGAGATACAAGGTTTTGTTCAGACAACAGTGACATACATATATATATATATATATATACACTGATCAGGCATAACATTATGACCACCTCCTTGTTTCTATGCTCATTGTCCATTTTATCAGCTCCACTCAGGACCACTGAAGAACAGGGTAAAAGGGGGCTAAGAAAGTATGCAGAGAAACAGATGGACTACAGTCTGTAACTGTAGAACTACAAAGTGCACCTGTATAGTAAGTGGAGCAGATAAAATGGACAATGAGCATAGAAACAAGGAGATGGTCATAATGTTACGCCTGAATGAGCTGTGTGTATATATATATATATATATATATATATATATATATATATACTTTATCAGTGAATGTAGTGGTGCCAGATTGTCAGACTTACCATAGCCTTTCAAAACTCTTTGAACAAAAGGAACAGGGGCTCTGCCTACAAAGTCGTCTGCATTGTCTATGAGTGCCTCCTTGACCGTGTCGTAGCCCACCAAGACCACCGCTCTCTGGGGTCCCAAATATGTTGTCATCACAGGCCCATACGTCTTACTCCACTGTTGAAGGACATAGTCAACAGCATGAACCAGTATATCCTGCTTCCCAACCCTGAGAACTTTTTTTGTTTGCATTTTCTTTGGTTCAGCATCCCTAAGCCAGCTCAGACCACTTGAGGAACCATTGGGCTGTATGTTATTTTGATGATCCACTGTAGATGCTTTGTAGATGTTTACCTATTAAACTTAACCCTAAGCCTAATAAGCACTCCAGTCCTATTTAAATGAAAGTATAACTATATAGGTTAGTGAGATATGCAATAAATTATATTTATATTTTCCTTCTGTATGGACAGACTTCGAGTCTACATTTCTTTCTGCATTGTTTTGGTTGTTTTGATGGTAAGAAATGACAAAAACAGTCCACACAACAGTAACTTTTCATCAAATTCAAATCATGATAAAATATCTCCTCATGTGCTTACAAACACAAATGTGGTCTGGATTGAAAATTTTGAAATCTGCACTTTCAAAAAAATTCTATCAGAAGTACTGAAATAACGATTTCAGCATGATTTTCTCACTTGTGATAACTGTGACCGCTAAGTAGGGCTGTGCAATTAATCATATTTTTATTATCATTGCTTTATGAGTTTCCATGATATGTACAACATTAAGGACTGCAATGACAGAAAGGGCTAAATTAGAATACAAGCGTGCAACATGGGAATGATGTCATTATGACATGCAGAGTGAGTGATTTAACCACTCTGCTACAGAGCCAATATAATAAACATACATCCACACAGCTCAAAAACTACCCTAACTAACCTGTATGCATCGGCTACTGTCACAACAAACCTGCATCACTATAAGGACCTGTAATGGAGTTAAATACAGACCTGGACAGAAAGAGCTGTTCAGAGAAAGCTGATTGTTTTTCTAACAGCCATACAGTGCATAAAATGTGCTTGTAATTGAGAGCAAGTAGCTATAAATATTTCATTATTTTTATTTTGAGCTTTGCATAAGAGTGAATGGTGCTTTTTTGCCATTTGCAACACTGAGTTTCACATTAGATTAGAATAAATCAGTATGACTGTTCCTTGCAAGAGGTTTTCACAACAGTTTACATTGCCCTGCTTGTTCCTTTATGGTCAGTCAGGCCACAACCCCTACTTTCAATAAATCAGATTAAACCATATCCGTATTACGTGCACTTGCGCAATCCTGCAGCCCTGCAGGAATTATGCATGACATTCCTGATTTAGGGTTTTGCCACTTTACAGTCTCAGTAAGGCATTTGTACAGGCATTTGTGTATAAATTAATGTTATGCATAATTTTTATTGACTTCCAAAGAATGCATGTTATAATTTGCCTCATTTAACAAATACAGTGTTTTTGTTTCACTCACAGGCAATGATTGAGCTTTAAAATGTATTTCTCTATGACACACTGCTCATTGTTGCTTTCAATATTCATAATTTTATCAGGTTAATAAAGCTCTACGCTTTTGTTGATATGAAATTCTTAAAAGTAGAAGCTGTTAAAAGAAACGATATGCAAAGTTTGGTCAGATTACATGTTTTGTTGATTTTCTTAGTATAAATAAGTCAACATAACCTCTACAGAAAACACACAATTGCTGTTTATTTGGCTGTTTATTGCTGAGTTTAACATATTGGAGTAAATATATAATACAGCATAAAATGCAGTGAGTGCAAAAGTAATAGGACATTTTATATTTTATGTTAGATTCAGCAAATAGAAATTATGCATTAAAATTAGCAGAAATATTTTAGATTTGAGTGTGTTCTCTGTAGAGGACGTGTTAGCATCTTTTCACTGTTGTTAAACACAATAAATCCTCACATATTTTCACTTAGAAGGTCAGAAAAACATGCAAGCTGACCACAGGTGTCTAAGCATTTACATAAGACTGTATGTTTTCTACACGTGACTAGACATGTGATTCCCACACGTGCAGCCTTGTAAACTCTTCTCCTCACAAGTAACCACATCTGGAAAATACATTTAGTGAAGACGTGTAAACATACACACGTTCCTCTTACCTTCAGGAAGGTTTTAAAGGGCGCGCGTTTGTCCATGGACAGGATATTGCCAACTAGAGGCAGAGCCAGCGGTCCTGGGGGAAGATTGTAAGCCTTTCTTCTCCATCTGACCAACAAAATCAGCAGCACCACCAAGACCACCAAAGCGGATGTGCTGGAGATCTCCATGCCTCGGCTCCAGAGACGATGTTCACACTCTTCTCTATGGGCTGGTCTTCTGCTTCTCAGCTCTGCCTGTTCAACTGCTAGGGTTTTATATGTTTGTGGGGTGAGAGGCCAGGAGGAGGGGCTGAATGGGACAGAGGTGAAACATGTAGGTGCACCCTCACCTCCTTCCTGCGTGACTGGACCAACTCCAAGTAACAACACAGCACAAATGCAGAATTCTGTGGCCTGCAATTATGGGGCATTCAAGGAGGGACCCATTTAAAGGAGACCTTTATACAATCTTATCACCAACTGTGAGACATGTCACCTTTCTTGAAGTATTCCCTTTGATCAGCTGCTTTTGAACTATTCACTTGGGAGCAGGGTTGAGATGTTTATCTTTAGAGGGAATTCATTCTGCCATACTGGTCACTGTGAGGGGCAAATGTAACTCAAAAACCGGCATATTTAACTCAACCACTGGCATATTTAACACAGCCAATGGCGTATTTAACTCAACCCCTGGCATATTTACTTTAAAAAATGACCTATTTAAATCAGCTACTGGCATATTTAACTTAGCCACTGGCATATTTAACTCAGTTGCTGTCAGTTACTGGCTTATTTAACTCAGTCACTGTACTCTCCTGTAAAAACTGCACCCTCTTTAAAACAAAACAGTACAGACCAGCATGGAATTAATGGTCTGGTCTGGTGCTGGTGTAGCTGGTCAACCCAGTATTGTTATGCTGGTTGACCAGCATGCCTTTATTTCCACAGGATTCAATGAATGATGAATAAATGCATCAACAAACTTGGATTGTTCCCTTTTTAAGTTTATTAGAGCTGTAAACATTAGAAAAGTACAATATTAGAACTTTAGAATGGTGTTTAGCCGAATCCATGCAAACCTTCTTAGCATTGCAGAAATTGTGAACAAATAGAATATAAATGGATTTAATTACATATTTTAATGGATATTCCATGATTGACAACACATGGTTTGCTGCTCTGTAGCAGCCGTTTAGTAAAATGCATGTTTCATTAAAAATGTCTCTGGTGTTACCTTTATTATGTGTAACACCAATGTGGATTGGTAACACCAGTGACTCCTATGAGAGATAGAAAAGTGGAGATTTCTGTAGAATGACCCAGAAATGTTTTTGCAGTCCTGCCTGCAACTGCATTTTCTATTTACCATCTGAGTCCAGATAATGCAGCAATGACACAGATTGTATAAACAGGCTTTGTTAGTTGGAAAAACAACATACAAGACAAGATCAGTTCTTCAAATCTTCCCCATCTTTTGTGGAGTAAATAACCAGCATGAACATAACACTGATTCTAACTGGGAACCACTGCCAAAAATCAATATCACAGTATTTTCCAAGTATATTATGCCATCACTGTATCATGAGAATTAGGTGTGCATTAGTAATGTTAATAAACCCAGTGAGCACTGGCACACCATGCTACAAAACTGTCTTTAAAAACTAAAGTTTCTATGTATTTTGAATTGTTCTATCGGTCAAAATCACAGTATACCAGTGTTTATCACGCAGTATTAGGGACCCTCTGTTTTCTGCATTGTTTTGCTTTGGTGAACACCTTTATCCTGCAGTACTGCGGCTGTTCAGCGGGGGGTGGCGATGAGCTGGTACATGCGGGGCAGGTTGCCAAAGCTACTTAGTTCGGGGGTGGGGTCAACGCTGTCCGGCCCACCTGGACTACTAAAGGTGAAATGCTGCAGCAGAGACACGATGAACATAAACAGCTCCATACGAGCCAGAGATTCGCCCACACACGACCGCTTACCTGAGGGGGAGAGAGGGAGGAGCAGAGTGTCACTGCAGCAAGACTCATCCTCAGAAAGGAATCATTTAACGTATTAATAGTTTATTTGGTCCATACCATAAACACTGCAGATTAACTATTATAAACTAGACCAGAGATACCAAAAGGAATATGTTTTTTTCAGGAATAAGAAGTTATTAAATGATAAGTAATCTACTGTTATCATTCATCGTCTCATTATTAACCTTGAGAGTTGACCACTAAAGACTCCCTGAAATTATTTGAAACAGTTTATGTGACAAAAATGCAATGAAAGCAGTGATTCTAAACTTTTTAACAGCAGTTTAAAACAGCAATAAAAAAAACAGTCTAAAACAGCAGTTTTAATTGTGCTGTCCATTTTCAAGTAAAAGGAAGTGATTATATGGACCATTGCACCAAATTAGTACAAACTGGAGTCCAACAGTGAAAAACATATTTAGTATTTAGTATTCAGACCTTAGATGTTATGTTACAAAGACTATGTTCTGATAAATTTAAGCCCAAGGCATTAATAGAGATACTAATAAGCTACATATATAATAAATTCATCATTTATAAGGTATCTCCTATTTGGAGGTGTATGTAACTCCTAATTTATACTTGAGAAAATAATAAAAAAAATCAATGTTTTTGTTATGAAAGATCTTTTTTTCTTTCTTTTACATTTGCTTTAAATCTGAATTCTTTGAATTTTTAAATTAAAAAACTACAAAAACTACAAAAACAAACTCCAAAAACTCCAAAAAATACAAAAAAGGCTGTCCCTTATTTGCATGTCACTACTGGAACATAAAGAAATTCAGTCTGTAGGCGGAGCCTTATTTTAGCCACGCCTGCATTTTAGAACAGGAAGTGAGACTGCATCCCTGTCCCTCATGGCCACATGGTTTTAAAATAAATGTGTCCTAAAGTCTGAAAACCAGTGTGGAACATTAAGAATTGTCACTCCCGAAACACAGATTTTCTGCAATTAAGCTAACTTTTTGTGTTTTAATGAAAAATATGATGATTTTATGCATGTGCAGCTGTGCTTGCTAGTCATGTACTAGCTTAAAATGAGCTAAAATTGTCATTACCTAAACTGTAATTGTCACTGTTTTGGTAGTGACAAAATTGAGTGTTCAAGCATTTGTTTTAATAAAGAAACATGATTAAGGTACAAGATCACTGAGAGCAAAAGGATTTTAGTCTAAAGTCCAAGATCACTTAAAAGTCCAAACTGTGTTTTCAAGTTTGACTTTGAACCAGTTCAGTCGAATGATCCATGAAGAGCTTCTGTTGTATCTGATTAGAGATTGCTCAATTTTTAGGATTCATATTAAAGTATAAACAGTGTATTGGCTCATCATGCAGATATCTTGATGTCTTTTATTACTAAATAGCACAAATAATGCTCTAAATAATGCTGTCACATTTAGCACACCGTTCTATTGGCTCCACACACCCTGTCTATTGTTCTGTTTGAAAATGACATTCAATTACGAAAAGATACAAATATGTACGTCTCTCATGGGAAAAAAACTTCCATTACCAACCATTGCACCTTTGAGGGTACATTTAAATTGTTTATTTAAGCAATAGAACACGAGAGGGAGTGTGTTATTGGGAAATAACATCACGGCTGTGATTTGGTCGCCGTAGATCATCACAGCCGTGATGTTATAGGCGATAACACACTCCTCGAGTGTTCTATTGCTTTTATACAACAGTTAAATAAATAAAGTAATAAATAATAAACTGGGTCGTGAATGCGGCGTTTAATATGTTTTAATGTTCGCAGTTCCTTCTGCCAAATTATAGTTCCTTAACAAGCAGCTTGTTGCTCCATCCGAGTAACGAGCTCTGCCCACTCGCTGCACAGCCGGCGGTTCGTTCTCCAGTTCCACTAAATTCCCAAACTGTCATCACCACTGAACAGCTAAATAATCTGGAATCAGCCAGAAATGAACCCAATACCATTCGCCAAACAAAACGGGCTGTAAGATGCTTGAAAAAATGGACAAAACTGAGCTAAACTTGATATTGCGGCAGTTTTATGTCTCAGTTCGATTTGGTCAGACTCTGAAGATCAGACTACATGTTTGGCGAATGGTATTGGGTTCATTTCTGGCTGATTCCAGATTGTTTAGCTGCTCAGTGGTGATGACAGTTTGGGAATTTAGTGTAGTCTCATCTTCAGAGTCTGATCAAATTGGCTGTCGGTCAAATGTGATCTTAAAAGTATACATTTTCTGTTTGTGGCAAAGTAAGAAGTAAAAACGTTCAAATGGCTTGAGCGTCTCCTACAGCTGTCAAAGTCGTTGCTTAGCAACAGTGTCTCAGCGGAGTGATACAGTGTTTGTGAAAAAAACGTGATGATATGGCGAAAAAACAGCACTGTTAGAACGCTTCTCAACCAATCAGCTTGATGAATGAAAAATGTATCTGCACAGTACCTTTATTCTGACAGTGTACCAGCATTTTAGGCACATGAACATCTCTAAAAGATCCCTCAGTTTCTGGTTCGACAATAGCAGCATTTACCTGCGGAGAAAGGTATGAAGGCAGGGTTGTTTCTGAAGTTGCCGTTTGCATCCAGGAAGTTGTTTGGGTCAAAAGTCCAGGGGTTGTCCCACATTCCCTCATCCTTCAGGACAGAGTGCAGTAGGGGAATTATCACTGTACCCTGGAGGAATGAGATAAAAGGTCAGCAAGTGTTTATAAAGTAGTGACAGGTGTCTGCTGACCTGTGTGCAAGCATGCACTCTTAAAAAAGATGGTTCCTCAAGGGTTCTTTAGTAAAGACAGTGGTTTTATATAGAAACATGAACATTCAAAGAACAATTTTCATGATTAAATGGAGACTGATGGAGAATATGTTGTGTATGATTCTATAAAGAACCTTTTTCATAAAGGTTCTACATAGCACCAAAAAGAAGAATTCAACACATTCTCCATTGTCTTTACTGAAGAACCCTTAAAGAACCATCTTTTTTAAGAGTGTTGGTATCAGTGGGGAACTCTCAGGGCTTTCTAGGCCTTTCGAGAAAGCCTAATGATTTTTGGGAACTTAAAAATTAAGATCTGTAATTGTTATTTTATTTTTTATTTAATAGATTGATGCTTGCATTGAAACTCTTGTTCCACTGTAAAGTTTAGGATGGAAACAAAAGGGTTAAATTCTTGAAATGCTGAATGGAAAATTGGCCAGTTTAGATACAGCTAAGCGAGCTCTCCTGTTGGTTAGGGCTTCAGGAGCTGAAGAGAAGTCCTAATGTGTTAGATTACCTATCAGCAAATCAGGCATAACATACACTACGCTCATTGTCCATTTTATCAGCTCCACTTACTCTATAGCTGCACTTTGTAGTTCTACAATTACAGACTGTAGTCCATCTGTTTCTCTGCATACTTTGTTAGCCCCCTTTTACCCTGTTCTTCAGTGGTCAGGACCCCCATGGACCCTCACAGAGCAGGTACTATTTGGGTGGTGGATCATTCTCAGCACTGCAGTAACACTGACGTGGTGGTGTGTTAGTGTGTGTTGCACTGGTACAAGTGGATCAGACACAGCAGTGCTGCTGGAGTTTTTAAACACCTCAGTGTCACTGCTGGACTGAGAATAGTCCACCAACCAAAAATATCCAGCCAACAGCGTCTTGTGGGCAGCGTCCTGTGACCACTGATGAAGGACTAGAGGATGACCAACACAAACTGTGCAGCAGCAGATGAGCTATAGTCCCTGACTTTACATCTACAAGGTGGGCTGACAAGGGAGGAGTGTCTAATAGAGTGGACAGTGAGTGGGCATAGTGTTTTCTGCATGTTTTGACCGAGTTTTGACATTTATGGCCTAAAGTGAAGGCCTAGCTCTAATAGTCACCGTGTGCCACTGGTAGGCAAGAACTAATAAAGCTGTTTTTGGCTGCTGTGAAGGTATCAGTGCTCTTACTTTAGGAATGGCGTAGCCTCTAAACGAGATGTTGTGTGTGGCGTAGTGTGGAAGGCTGAAAGGGACAAGATCCAGATATCGCTGCACCTCGTGGATTACTGCATCCGTGAAGGGGAGGGCCTTTCTGTCTTGCATTAAAGAGTTCCTCTCAGTTCCGATCACAGTGTCGATCTCCTTCTGCATTTGCTCTGATAGAACAGAATGAGAAGATATTAGCTTGTAGTCCAAAAACAAGGTATCTATGGCCTTGTTCACTCCTGGCGTTTACATGCGTCCTGGTGATCTGATTATAAGTGGACAGCACTGAGTACAGGTGTGAACATGGCCTGATACGTTTTGGAGACGTGTTGTGATCTCAGACCACCTTTAAAGCTACACCGATCAGGCATAACATTATGACCACCTCCTTGTTTCTATGCTCATTGTATATTTTATCAGCCCCACTTACTCTATAGCTGCACTTTGTAGTTCTACAGTTACAGACTGTAGTCCATCTGTTTCTCTGCATACTTTGTTAGCCCCATTTTACCCTGTTCTTCAGTGGTCAGGACCCCCATGGACCCTCACAGAGCAGGTACTATTTGGGTGGTGTATCATTCTCAGCACTGCAGTAACACTGATGTGGATGTGGTGTGTTAGTGTGTGTTGTGCTGGTACGAGTGGATCAGACACAGCAGTGCTGCTGGGGTTATAATATTATGCCTGATCGGTGTATATGACCATGCATATAACCACATAATGAATAGCGAAACATCCCGATGGATCCCTGGCAGCAACAAAGAATTGTCTAATCAACTGTGCCATCGCAACAAATATGTTCTTCATAGTTCTAATAACACACATCTGATAAAAAAGGCAGTAAGAGGCTGATCAATGGAGATGCATTTGAGCTATGGAAATGCCGAATGTATACCTCACTGTCCTCTTGTGATCAAGTCATTCAGGACAGATATTAAGCTTCATTTCACAAAATAATACAGGGAATTTTCTACTCTTCCATGAGTCTAAGACACGCTGTTATTCTAATTTTAAATTGTACATCGTCTACACTGGTATAAAGTCAGACTTTTTAAGATCAAAACCGATACAGACCCCACATGTGATCGATGCAGGCAGGCCGCAGCCTCCCTGCTGCACGTTTTGAACATGTCCAAAGCTCTACTGTCCAAAGCAAAGCATCTTTGAGAACATTTTCTAGGATATTTGGGAAAGTAGTACAGCTGTAGTCACTTTTCATGTGCCACCCCCCAGGACCCCCCCTGGGCAGACACCCCTCCTAGTAGGGAGGAAATCAACTTTTTGGCCTTGTGCTCTCTCCTTGACAGGACACTGATATTGTTTAAATGAAAAGACTTTATTCTACCGAAAAGGATCAGGGAAGTCATTTACCATCTCAAATTGGAGAAGATTAGATAAACTGTCAGAGGGTCTACTCGGACGTTTCACACCATTTGGCAGCCTCTCTTAGCCTTTGTCGAGGACATGGAAGCTGACATTGCAAGGTAACCAATTTTTTTCTGTTTTTTCATTTTACTTGTATTATAAAGTTTTCTTTTTGGGAAATCGGTCTATGTATAACCTTCATATGTGTATGTCTGGTACTTGAGGGGTGGGAGATTTGGTAAAGTTTTTGTTTGGACCTGTAATGTAATAAAAAAAAAATACAATACAAGCACTCTAGTCAAATAAACGGCAGTAAATGGTGCGAAAAACTTACTAGACCAAGTTTCAGTTGTTGTAAAAAGCAGGCATTTATGGCAGATTCTGTGGAGCTTTTAAATTGAGTTACAACTCATTAGTTCATAGTAATTAGATCTCATAGTGAGTAATTCAGCTACAAATCCCTATTCAAGCAGTATAGCTAGTATTTTACTCTGCTATGGGAAAAGCTCTCAACACTACCCACGTGATAGAATGGGGCTTGATACTGCACCTGTACACCTAGGAGCCCTTGGGCAACACTCCTAATGCTACATTTGCCTACCTTTGTAACTTGATTTAAATGTAAGATGCTCAGAATAACAACATCTACCAAATGCTTAGATTTAAATGTGTCATTACCAGATGCAGATGAGTTCCTTCTGCTTTGGAGGCCTGCAGAGCCTCCAGATCTTTACCCTATCTAGTATCTTTAGGATGAGGCAGAAAGAACTGTTCGCAGCAAGTCTGAGCAGCCGGCCAGTGCTGCAAGTTTGTTCATTTTTGCATGGTACAACATTTCTATGTAATCCAACCACATAGCCCTGGTGGTGGAGGTGTAGCCAGATGTGTATACATAAAGACTGGCACTCAGTGCTTCAGATGCAAACAGATGTGTCTGATTTGATTGTCTCCTGGTTATTTTACAGATTTTCTGTGTTGGAGAAAACAAACATTTTGTGTGAGTGTCGTACCCTGTATATGTGTGTACTTGATTAGCAGCATCAGAGCATATCTGATAGTAGTGCTGGTGGTCTCAGTCCCAGCCAGGAACAGGTTGAGGACAGTTGACACCATGTTATCATAGTGGAACTCTGTCTCTGGACTGTCCTTTTCCTGTTATGGAAAAAACACAAGGACAAAGTTATTTGTTGCAGATTCTGATGGGATTCAATTTGCATAGGGTCTAGAGGTAGTTTCCTATTTTACAGATGCTCCTCTGTGATATTGTTTTCGTCTGGATTCCATGTCTGTGTTTTTTTCTGAAAAAATTACAGGTGGTATTACCTTCTGTTGTTAACTGAACGGTTCTTTGATCTTTTTAGTTCCATCTGGATAAAAATGTTTTTGACCACTGCTACTCCTTGTATTTAGTCTCGTGCACATCTATATTAAACACTTCCAGAGTCTCATAAAAGTGCTGGTTTCAAAGACAAAATGTGGCAATTTTATTGCTGCTTTTTTATAAAACGGATAGTTCTGGTCCTAAAATCTGATTGGCTGAGCCGCGTTCGAAGTCGTTGTAAAATCCACGATATTCCACGTCTATGACCGCCTCACAGCTACTGAACTCTGTATCACTGCACCACGGCACGAAAAACCCTTCCGCTGTTTTTGGATTAATCTTTGACTCTCATGCTGATTGCAGAGAGCACCGAGTGTACTTATGAAGTAAGAACCTGTTTTTTGTTTAAACTGAGAGGTTGAAAACTTATTTTCTTTACTAAAACTAGGCTGGTCAGCTAGCTAACAGGCTAAAAGATAGCAAACATGCTAAACAACTCCAACATTAATATCACAGGCTTGAATTAAAGTACTCACGATATGATTCACTGAAAAACGGCAGTATGAAAGTCTAAAGAATGTCACCTGAATGTCTTACACGCTTTAAATGTCCGTAATTCAGTTAGAAGTCGCGTCAAACCCAACGGTCCGATTATTCGATTCGATTATTATTAATAATAACTTAAATAATTATCTAAAACATTGTGTATTTTATATATTTTATGTTGGCCGTCGTTTTCTAAAAGCAATAAGCCACTCGAGGCCTTGTGTTACAGTGATTTTATCACAGGGAAGGAGGTTTTACTCTGCTTTGCATCGTGCCAAGGAACACTTCCCCATGATAAAATCACAGTAACCCACGGCCTCTCGTGTCATATTGCTTTATTATTACGGGTAGTAACTTTGCATCTCCAAACCAATAATGAATTCCTTTATTTTTAAACTATTGACTGTTGTCCCGTGCCTTCGACAGGGTTTTAAGAAGCACTGCTAACTTAGTCTGGTCCAACTCTTCGAACAAACATTAAAAACCGTTTCCAAAAATCTCTGAAATACACAGAGACAAGACGCTGCTCAAAGGTTTACACATACTACTCCACATGCCGTTGAGGTGCTGCGTTCAGGGAAGCAACAGACACAATAAGTAAAAGTGTAGCAAGGCCTTGCTAAAGCCCACCTGGTTCAGCCTGATGAGGAAGCAGTCAATAAAGTCTCGTGGGTTATCTGGGTCCATACTTTCCTTGTGTGTTCTTATTTTTTCCACAATGAAGGCCTTAAGTTCGTCCACTTCTCTTAAGAGGGTCTGGTGACGCCCAGGCAGGTGTTCCATGAGCCAGGGGAACACATTGTATGCCTTTGAGAGGAGCAGAACCAGGTGAGCTTCTCTAGTACATGATGATAGAAGTGAATATTTTGGAACCACTTTCTTCTGCACTGTCCTCTTTTCCTTCTCACCTGTCCCCATGGGCTGCTGCCAAAGCGCAGTATTGCAGTGATGATCTGGAAAAGGCGGAGTAAGTTGCTGTCTTCATAGCTGAAGCGCTGGCCAAACACCAACGCACAGATCACGTTGGACACAGCTCGACTCAGGTAGAACGTGGGGTCAAATGGAGCAGCTACAGGAAGGGAACAAAGTAAAGACCATTAGCCTGATAACAAAACAGTTACTAAAGAGGACGGGCAAGTAAACCATAAAATATCTAAAAATTCTTAACCCTCTGGGGTCCCATATGTCAAATTTGATGTTTCTGTATCTGTTTGTGTGGCTTTGTGATACAATAGCACAGAAATCCAGTTCAAACACTTCCTGAATCTGTAGAGTCGCCCTTTCCATTCCATCTTATCTCGAGATCATACTAAACCCACATCCGGAGTTATGAGCCTGTGAAGAGAGGCTGAGATACACATCATCTGCCTCTCACTGTGTGGAACTGGTGGATTTGTGCATCTATGTTCTGTGTGAAACTGACCAATGGACACTCAGGAAATCACTAAGAACTGACCATCATGCCGGAAACCCTTCATTCTTCATTCAGTCCACATCGGAGACTCATGTGAAATGGCGTCCAGAGAGTTTACAGCTGCTGAAGTTGCTGCGGCGGTTTTGGAAAGTAGTGATGAAGATAACGCAGCATTTTGATATGAAACATATGAGGATCATGTTATATGAAGAGCCTTTAAAGGAGAATTTAAGTTCATTAACTTTAATGTCAAATAATAAGCAAACTGTGTCTGATGTTCTATTAACTAATCTATCAAATGTTCATTAAACTTAAAATAAATGAACTGCAAAATTAATCCTTGTTGCTTACTTTTTAAAACTAAAACAACAAATCTTTCCCCACAGTTTCATAAACATTTCTGGACACAGAAATTCAAGCAACTTCAAGGTCTCCTGAGTGAGCCAGGGGTGTCCATATGGGGCCATTTTGGACCATGTAAAAATACCAGAGGGCCGATTGGTAACAACAGACTTCACTGCAATTGCAGAGGGTTTACATTTGGTTTCTCTGAGGCTGTTTTGCAGGTGTCTGCTCTCCTCCTGAATCCAGTACTCGATCCTCCTGCGCCCCATTCCGAAATCTCTCAGCGTAGTGAGCGTGAAACGCCTTAGCTGACGCCAACGATCTCCATTACTGATGACTAGACCTGATGGGAGGGAAACAAAGGGGGAGTAAATGAATGACTGCTTGCATTCTTCACATAATCACAGTGTCCTTTCCATCTAGCAGCCGCCACTTGGCAGTATCTGTGTGTTTGCAAGTACAATTTCAAGATAATCAATTAAGGCATTCTTAAGGCCAGTGGTTCGCAGTACTGGTCCCCCATATGGAAAAAGAATATATTCCAAATGTACTTATCAAATATATTTTTTGCAATGTATGAACGTTTTATTTGTTAAATATACTTTTAAATGCTTTTATTTGTATTTGTTATCATATTTTTTCAATTGTTAATAGTTTTAATAAAGGTTACAGATGTAACTAAACATACTGACGTCTGTCATCTGCTTGTTCTTTACATTAACCATGTACGTCTGCAGTGAGTATCAATACCTACAACACTCGCTTCTGTCATGTTAAAGGATCAATTGATCATATTTAAAATGAAGATACTTGAATACAAATTCATTTCTAAAGGTATCAGACAGTGAAGTGCATCAGACAGGATTTTGAATATTTTTATACATTTTCAAATGGACTTGATAAATACATTTATATACATATATTTTAATATGGTACATTTCTAGTTGTAATACTTCCTCATACAGTTTAAAATAAATGTATTTCAAAATACATTTAGTTAATATGGCAGTATATCCTGCAATACATCTTAGTGTTTGGAATGTATTTCAGCATGGATTGCAATGTATTTGAAATGCATTTCAAACATAGAAAACATATATGTCCATGTATTTGTTTCCATATGGGCCTGGAGTAGCCCTGCCCTGTTTTATCCTGCTCCGACAGACCTGATTCGACTAATCAGCTAATTAACAAGGTCTTCTTTGTTGATGCGGCGCATCAGAGCTGCAAAGATGCCGTGAAGGTGGCCCTGATTGGTCAGACGCTCAGCACTGACTGGAAAGAAGCTCTCCCTGATTGATCAAAAGCTCAGCCCTGATGGTTCAAGAGGTTGTCCCAGATTGGTCGGATGCTCAGCACTGTTGCTCAGTTGCTAAGTCCTGATTGGACAGACTCTCAGCCTTGAATAGTCAGAAGCTCGACCCTGATTGGTCAGAAGATTGTCCATGAATGGTTAGAATGGTTAAGTTGTCTATGACTGGTCAGAAGCTTGGTCCTTATTTGTCAGAAACTTGGCCCTAATTGATCAGATGCTCAGCACTGATTGGGCAGAAGCTCGGCCCTGACTGGTCATAGGCTCAGCCCTGACTGGCCACAAGCTTAACCCTGATTGGTCTAGCAGCACAGCCCTGATTGGTTCAGAAGTGCAGCCTTGATTGGGAACCGCTGCTTCAGGCGATTTCAATTGTGCTATATAACTATAAAATGACAAATACTGGAGATGCACTTATATAGAATATTTGTTCTGATAACATTCACCGATAATTAACACCTTGATGTTGTTACAAGTCAGTGACTTAGACATGAGTTGTCGTGTGTCTTCTTAACTTGTGACCTGACTCAGATTCAAAACATATATAATATCTTAGTAGGCTTTACTTTTGTGCAGTGCAGTGTATGCATCTATTAACTACAATGCTTGACTTGCAGCGACTTGAGACTCGACTCAGACTCATACAAAGCAAATTGTGAATGTCTCTGTTCTTAATTAACACCTAGCCAATACTAATGCTAATAACCAATACATTTATTAAAAGTCTTTTGTGTGTTTTGTCCTCAGTGTACCGTGATAATTTGATGCAAGCAGTTATTCTGTTATCTGTTCTGCTCTAATTTCGCTCATTGTGGCAGGATGGTCTGTGTTAATAGTGTCCCCCTTTGCTGCAGTAACAGCCTCTACTCTTCTGGGAAGGTTATACACTAGATGTTGGAACATTGCTGTGAGGATTTGATTGGGCATTAGTGAGGTCAGGTACTGGTGTTGGATGGTCAGTTCTGTATCACTCCAACTCATCCCAAAGGTACTGGATGGAGCTCCATCACTCCAGAGAACACAGTTCCACTGCTCCATAGCCCAATGCTGGGGGGCTTTATACCCCTCTAGCCCAGGCTGGGGCATTGGGCATGATGACCTTAGGCTCATGTTCTACTGGAAAATGCTCTTCTATGGAAATAACCATAACAGTGATAATAATGGTAGCATGAAAAGTTAGTCTTACCATAGCCTTTCACAACTCGGTGCATAAAGGGGATTGAGGCTCTGCCTGCAAAGTCATCTGCCTGGTCTACCAAGGCCTCCTTTACTGCATCATAGCCCACCAGAACCACCACTCTCTGGGGCCCAAGGTACACCGTCATCACTGGACCATAGGTCTTACTCCACTGTTACAGAAGACGCACAGGTTAGATCTTTGCAGCACATTCTCAGAATGCATTGTAGTGCACTGTATGGGGTCTGTGGGTGTCTTTCAGATATTAACAGGTGAATCTATAGAAATCTAGAAGTGTGTTGTGTTGTTTGTTAATTGTTATTGCAATACTGGCTTTTGTGGCCTGTTTTACAAAATACTTTCCACTACAACATGGTTTCTGGCTGGTTTCCAGTCTCAGTAAACAAACACAGATACTGCAAACTTATATTACTTATATTAACAACTTTCTCTGTTGACCCAGGCTTAGAGACCCAGGCTGTGATTAATCATTGTGTGTGTGTATTGTAACATGACATTTAAGATGAACATCCAATCATGTGAAACATGAAGAGGAGTCAAGCAGCTTATTTAGATCGTAAGCTCGGCCCTGATTGGCCAGAACTTTCACTCTAATTGGCCAGAAGCTAGGCCCAGATTGGTTAGAAGCTTAGTCCTGACTGGTCAGATGTCAGGCCCTGATTGGTCAGAAGCTCAGCACTGAATGGTCAGATGCTTGGCACTGATTAGTCAGAAGGTTGTCCCAGTTTGTCAGATGCTCAGCATTGGTTGCTTAGATGCTAAGTAGTGATTGGACAGACACTCAGCCTTGAATAGTCAGAAGCTCAGCCCTGATTGGTCAGAAGCTTGACCATGATTCTACAGATGCTCAGCCCTGACTGATCAGATGATCTGCCCTGTTTGGTTATAAGCTCAGTCCTGGCTGACCAGAAGCTTGTTCATGTCAGAAGGTTGTCTATGATTGGTCAGACGGTTGTTGGTCAGAAGGTTGTCCATGATTGGTCAGAAGGTTGTCCATGATCGGTCAGAAGCTCAGCCCTTGGCTTGGCCATGATTCCACAGATGCCCAGCCCTGATTGAGCAGATGTTCGGCCCTGAATGGTTCATAAGCACAGCCCTGATTGGTCAGAAGCATGGCCCTGATTGGTTCAAGAGCTTTTTATGATCTGAAATCCAGGATGATGTATCACATTAACAAGTGACACACCATCATGAGACAGAAAATCCAGGGTTAGATTAAGCTAAGATTAAAGTTAGCCGGTTAAGGAGGAAATCCCACTTCATGAGAAGAACCCCTCTGATATCATACTGATATAACAGAATGGAAAAGAGCCCTTTAACCATTCACAGTGTTTATTACTGCTTTGAGCACCTTTCAGATGGTTGTTGGTGAAAATAATGTAGACCAGTCTTTCACCACATCGTGTTATTGATTCATCAGTGCACTTTTTATTTATTGCAAGAAATGTTGCACTTCCAATGCGAAGCAATGTGAACATACTAGTGCTGTGTTCAAACTGTGCAGCCATAACACACACTTATATAATAGCAGTACCTCTGGAATCAGTTCCATTTCAGTACACTTATACCTTGGAAATGTAGTTCATAGAGCTCGAGCTCATCTCTTACCTTGAGGAAGCTTTTAAAGGGTGCACGCTTGTTCAGCATAACAAGATTGCCAAGCAGAGGCAGAGCTAGTGGTCCCGGGGATAGAAGAAGTCTGCGCATTTTACTTTTCCATCTGATTACCACAAGCAGAACCACCACCAAGCCTGCCAAGAACAACGTGTTGAAGATATCCATAATTATTCTCTAGACAGATTATTTACTGCACAAACTTCATGTTCACTTTGTCATATTTTTTCTGCTTCTATCTTTTCTGACAGCCTCTAGTTTACAAGATTAGATTTGCAGCTGCGAGGCTGTTAAGTAGGAGGAGCATTGTTGAGGCATGTGACTTATTTCCAGCAGACAGCAAGCACAGAGTGCACCCCCACCTGTCCTGGGCCAAAACAAACAAGAACTGTGTAGCTCTGGAATCTGTAGTTCTGACATGCACCCAGCAATCTTAACGCCTACAGGCTTGGGACTTGATGGAACTGGATATTGGCAGGTTTTCTGTACTAGATTTGTGTTGGGTGGACATCAGAATCCACTGCTCACTGTACGTTCAAAAGTATCCAGACAGCCCTTCTATTGAGCGAATTCAGCTAAGGTCATAGGCGTTCAGAGAGCTTGTATAATCTCCACAGAAAAGCACTGACCAATAGAATATGATGCTATGGAGCAGCCATACATGCCTAAGGTCACCACTGGGCTGTGGAGCAGTGGAACTGTGTTCTCTGGAGTGATGGAGCTCCATCCAATACCTTTGGGATGAGTTGGAGTGATCCAGAACTGGCCATCCAACATCAGTACCTGACCTTACTAATGCTCACTCAAATACACACAGCAATGTTCCAACATCTCGTGTATAACCTTCCCAGAAGAGTAGAGGCTGTTACTGCAGCAAAGGTGGAGCCCTCGGGGGCCTTATAGGCCTCGAGAAAAGGCTTAATAATTTCTGTGTAATAAAATACATGTCTGTTCATTTTTATTTAATAGTCTAATCGTGCTTGTTGTATTCAAACCATGTACGTGTTGTAATAATGCAACACTTCAGTCTTAAGTTTTGGTTGGAAACAAAAGAGTTAAAATCTTGAAATGCCTAATAAAAAATTATCCAGTCAGGATTGTTTTCTCTGTGGTATCTAGGTAGATTCAGCCAAGCAAGCTCTCCCATTGGTTAGGACTTCAGGAGCTGGACTGAAGGCCTTACACATTAGATTAACTACCAGTATAATTAGGAAGAGACAGAGGAACCAACTAAATGTGCTTTGCTCAAGAATAAGTAGATCCAAAAAACATCACTCTAGTCTCTCTGTACTAATGATGGTGAACTATTTTGACATTCAGGGCCTTCTAGATCTTGAGACAAGACCAAATGATTTCTGGGCACTAAAATACCCACATCTGCACTTTTTACTTTAATATAGTAATAATAATAATAAGTATTTCAGTAACTCTCTTATTTCATTGTTTGGTTCGAACCTAAAGGGCTAAAATCTCAAAACACCGAACAAAAAATGATCAGATCAAGATTTCTCTATGTTATCTATGGCTTCAGGAGCTGGACTGAAGGCCTTACACATTAGATTAACTACCAACGTAATTAGAAATTATATGTAATTAGGAACAATTAGAAATTTGATGAGAAAAATTCTAGTTCTAGATATGTCTCAGTTGTTAGGAATGTAAAACAGCGGCAGCAGCTCTATGGCAGAACTCTTTACTGAAAGACTCACTGTAAAACATACAACAAGCTCAGATATAAGATAATGTCTGTTACAAGCTTTAGATAAAACATATGGAATGTCCTTTACAAAATATTAAATGTTAAACATGTTAACTGCCGTTATCTTAACACTGACATACTACTAAAATCACATAGGGATCCTAGTGGAAATTAGTGCTATCATCGAGGGTTTTTAGTCAGTGTTGGCCGCTGACAAGTTCTCTATTAATACTCTTGATTTCAGGAGAAAAAAAAGATGTCTCCAAACTTTTAGACTGTCACACATCCCTCCAACCATGACTCTCAGGACTCCCAGAGTTCCCAGATTCCCAGAACCCTCTGGATGAACACTTGACGTCGAGATCACCTGGTTCCACGTATCAGAGATCAGCTTCCCCTTACTGTTGATGTTCTTCACCTGTTGTGTTTATCATGTGAATCCAGTTAGTTTATAAGCTCCGGCTTTAGGTCAGGTTAGTTGCGAGGTCCTGCTTCTTTCATAGAGCTTCTGAGCATTTTTGTCTGTGTTCTGATCTACTTTTGTGTATCTGACCCATTGTTTGTATTCTCGACTCTCCCTTTTGCCTGTGTCCCTTTTTGGACTTTGGTTGTCTGGATTTATCTTTGTTATGTTTGTATATTGTTGGCTCGTTTTGGTTTTGACCTTCGCCTGTTTTTCGACCTCGATTGTGAATTTTGGACAGTAAAGCCTCTTTTTTCCACATGTCTGACTAAGTCTGATACGTTACATGGACATTTTGTTAGGAGCATATACACTTCTATGGTGATGCCATTCAATGTCACAATAGTCTCAGTTTAAGAGAAAGGCTTGTTTAAGCTATTTTTCAGTGAACTGTGAGCTTCCATTCAGTGACTTTCTGCACGTGTAAACCTGTTTCTGCATGTCAGTATGGCTTAATCATTAGTTTGTTTGTGTGTAATAAAGAGAGAGAGAGAGAGAGAGAGAATTAAACCAGCAGGGTTTGCTTGTGTGCAGCGGTGACAGTTGCAGTAATCTTCTCAGATTACCAGAGCACAACATCTGGATTTAATGGTCTGGGCTGTGAAGCATTCAGACAATGTCACGCAGAGATTCTGGCCTGAAGACAGCACGCATATTTACCCTGTTTATCCTCTTACACAACAGCACAGATATATAACACCATGCCAGCCACGTATATATATATATACACATATGTTAAAGAAAAACCTCTGATAAGCAGAGAAAACAAGCTTCGTTACGAGTAAAGGTCATAAGCCTTGCATTAGACTTTGGGTCATTTTATAGAAATAATAATTATATTCCGCCTTATACTAAATAGCAAAGAAGCATTTGTTTAATAAAATTAGCTATAATAAATAATAAATAAATAACTAGAAATATAAATAATTAAACATTAAATTATAAAGACAACAGAATAAAATAAACATTGAATTAGAATAAAAAACAAGAACATTAAAATGAACAAAATTAGATTTGAAATAAAAACAGGGTCATTTTCTATTAGGCTGGCAGAATGACCACTAGGCGGACGTGTGATTTCAAAATTGGGCGTGTAAAGCCCCAGCACTGTTTACAGAGAAGCAGCTCCATATTGCGATGCTCCCACCTTCATACTTCGCTGTCAGTGTGATGTTCTCATACACACAACACTTCTTTCTCCACACATGAACAGCTGAAGTATTACCAGAGTTCTGTCTGATCAGAGAACTTTGTTTCCTGAGGAGTTCTGGTCTGTGTAAATGCTCAGGTGCAAAAAGAAGCACACATCTCTGTGCTTCTTTTTCTTTTTCACCACATGAATGGAGTGTAGAAGCGGAGATTATTACAGTGTGGTTCATCGTTTACTGATCTCTGTGTAACTGTTGTTCTGCTTTCAGGTCCTGCAGCTCTGTTTGAGTGACTGCTGGTGTCTCTCTTACATTCCCCATCATTAGTAGAGAGAATCATTGAGAAATCACTTAATTAGTGTTGTTTAATAATAATGATCTCCCTGAGAACTTTAGGAAGTTCCTTAAGCTTCACCTATGATTGCATGAAATTTTCCCAACCAAAGGCGACATCTTTTACAATCACACCAGATGCAGTTTGAACGAGAACCTTTTTATTTTTGTAGCACTAACATGTAAAACTTTGTTTTTATTTTTGACATTTACATACCGCTGGGATGGGCTCCAGAACCCCCATGTGACCCAGAAGGAGAAATGCGTTTACACATGTAGATTTTAATATAGTGCTTGAATACTTTTACTCATCAATCTCTTTTTTTAAACACATTGTAGCACTGACCACTACGGAAGAGGACGCACAGCTTATGCACCAGTCATTGTGCTTTATTAGCACAAAGCAGTCCTGGACTCATGTCCGCACTCTTTCAGCTTTCAGCTCCAACTGACACCAGTTTTTCTTGTTCTAACACCTAAACACACAGCTAGCAGGCTAACACTGCCTTCACAATAAGAGTCCTTATAGAATAAACCTAGCATAACTGCTGGAAAACAATAACTCAGAATATACATTTGCTGAACATGCTACTTTATCTTTGTTTACATTTTAGAATAGTTTTTATTGATATTTATCAAATACAAAGTCAAAAAACATTATATGTGTAAATTTGAGGTGGATATATGCATTGGGCATGTATAACAAATATTATAACATATTACTATATACTTGTTTCCCTTCACTATATACACACACACACACACACACACACACACACACACACACACATATATATATATATATATATATACACATATATATATATATATATATATATATATATATACATATATATTTATATATATATTGCTGCTGTCGGAAGAAAACCTTGTATCTCAATTTTTGTCATTTTTCAGTTTTTGTCATAATATGAAAATGCCTGTCGTTCTTTACATTATGTGTAAATTTTATGATGAATAGACTAAAATAAACGGCCCAGAAAAATTCTGGTTCCTTTAACTTACATTAAAAGTAAAGTAGGTTTTTTCCTTCTCCTGTAAATTTACCATTTTGGAGATACAAGGTTCTCTTTTGACAACAGCGATATATACATATATATACATGCATATATATATATATATATATAATATATATATATATATATATATATATACATATATATACATACATATATATATATATATATATATATATATGCTGACTGTTTCTAATACCTTAACACCTTAATTACATTATTTATTGTCTTTAGATGTTTAGATAGGACACTTCTCTGATCACTGCCCTCATCTCTTTCTCTCTCTCTCTCAAATCTGACGTGTTTTAAAAACAGATGGACAAACTGAAGTGTCAGCCTTTATTTCACTGCACTGCTCGCTCACCTCTGTGCTCACTCACATATACACAGATCCATACACAACAGCAGGACAGAGTTTAAAACAGGGCCTTAGAAAAGCAGGTCAGAACGTCATGAGCAGGAGAAACGAGGGGGCACATTAGGACAAGATAACGAGTATAAAGGAAGCACAGAAGATTCCAGAAAATACATTTCATTCAGTGCTTTAGGAGTTCAGTAGAAAAGTCTTTTTCACAGCAGAAAAAAACACAGAAGACAGCAAGAGAAAAGGTTTCAACATCATCTGATCGGTCAACAACCTTCTGACAACTGCACAGTCATCACAATATAACAGCACAGAGGAGAGGGTCAGCAGATTATCATCTCTGCAGTCAGAACAGAGAACCAGCGGCCATAATGCGCTTTACAGTCACAACAAAAATACTGCGCTGTGAATGTAGGCCATTGATTTGAATAGTCCTGGAAATGTGTCCAGAGGATTAGAATAAGAAACATAAATAAATGAACCAATAAATCAAATGAACTAAAATAAAAATAAATGAAATAACTTTCTACTAAAAATTAATGACAGCTATCAGACATTTTTAGCTTTGAAAATAAAAGGCTCAGGAACCAGGAACAATAACAATAATATAGTATAGATATTGACATATTTTCAATAAGAAAACTTCTCATCTGAATGTCTTAAAGGGAAGGTCCACAGATTTTTAAAAAATTCTGCATAATTTAATTGGTTAAAAGAAATGAGAGGGTCAGAATTGTTCACAGTGGTGGCGATAGAAACCAGACATCCACCTCTAAAAGCTCCCTTTTTGGCCTTAAAATCCATTCATGGTGGAGGGATACATGCAGGGCGTTGTGAGGCAAAATAGCCCCTAAAGAAATCTTATTTATTTCAGATTTTACCATCATTAACATTCCATATAAACTCAGAAGACTCGTGTAGGTTCACTGGTGGTTTTGGTTAGTAAATAAAATGTCTATTTTTGTGTTGTAGTCATGGCGACCCCTGGTTCCTATCACCACCACTGTAAAGACATCTGAATCATTTCACACCAAAACACTCTGAATCACTCTGTTTACATTTCAACTACTAAATTATGGAGAAAATTTGAAAAAATGGGGTTTAGATGTGATGTTACTACATACAAACAATATTCATTAAATCATCCATTATTCTTTTTCATTCACTGCATGATACTGACCAGATTGCATACTTTAAATTGGAGTTTGCTGTTAAATGACAGTCTTTAGCATCATGAGGCAGGCAGGCTGAAACAGTGAACAAATTAAAACAGCACTTGCTCACTTTGGCTGTGTCAAAAGCTGCATACTACCACACTAAACAGCAGTGTTGATCCCTGCCTGTTAGAGCTGGGCCTTCAGTTTGGGCAGTAAATGGTAAAACCTGGTCAAAAAATGAGGAATAAACATTTTCACAAAATGTTAATTTCTGCTAGTGCCTCTATTAGGTTTCCAATAGTATGTTGGCAGTAGGCTAACACTGATGGACATGAACATTTTTTGGCCTTGACTGAAAGTAAAAGACATTCTGTATGTTTTATTTAAAGCTGTAACAGACATTAACGTGTATCTGAGCTTGTATGTACTAGTTTCACAGTGACTCTCTCAGTGAAGAGTTCTGCATAGAGCTGCCACCACTGTTTTACATTCCTAACAACTAACTGGAACACTGCTTAGACTACGACTCGTATTCACAGTCACTGATATTTCTGGAACTTCAAGAAGGACATCTTCCTTACCAGATTTCTAATTATGTTGGTAACGTGTAAGGCCTTTAGTCCAGCTCCTGAAGCCCTAACCAATGGGAGAGCTCGCTCTGCTGTATCTACCTAGATACCACAGAGCAAACAATCCTGATTGGATGTTTTTTGTTGGGTATTTCAAGATTTAGTTTCCAACCAAAACTTAACAATGAAATAAGTGTATTACTACAACACTTGAAAAGATTACATATAATAAGCGTGAGGATTATATTAAATAAAAAATAATATTTTTTCAGTTCCCAGAAATCATTACGCCTTCTTTGAAGACCTAGAAGGCCCTGAGGACTCCCCACTGCTAAAGAGTAAAAAAAATACACCATCATTTGTACTAAATTCATTAGAATAATACATGTAGTATTTACCGTGTAGTGTAATGTGTTGTTTTGTATGCAGCCTCACTTTTTAGCCAGGCAGCTCCTTCATTCACTCAAAAAGCAATCTGGGTACATTAAAGGAATCCACCAGCGTTTTTCAACCTGATCTGCATCTACTGCATCTGTTTCACACTGTCAGGTATCACAATAGCCACGTTTACATGCAGCCTATTAATCCGTTAATAATCCGACTAATAGCTCAATCGGAATAGAATGCACCCATGTATACACCTCAATCAGAATTGACATCTTCCTCTCGGCCTTCTTTAATAAGGACATGTGAAGGACGTTTTCCTGAGTCTGACATCATTTTAAAGTGATTAAAAACACAAGCACTGCTCACTGCTGCTCATCTCACTCTGACTGGACTGATGCTGCTTGTCATGGTAACAGCTACACTAAGCGGTTCTCTTGTAATACTTATAGTGAGCATGTAAAGAGAGATTCTCCATCAGATTGTTGAGCAGAGTGAGAATAAACACCTCAGTCTTAATCTATAATCGGAATGAATTTAATCGGATTGGCAAAAATCTTTGCATGTAAACACAGCCAGTGATTTTGATCCTGTTCAGTGAGCTGAAAACCCAACGACTCAAAATTCACTTATAATAGATCCTGTTGGGCAGTCGCTAAATTCATTACTAACTTTTCAACTTTAATAGCACAGATGGGAAGCAAAACACTGACATAATGTCTTACCAAAGATGCTTTTATGAAGTTATGAAGTTTTATGCAACTTTTGAAAACTTTCAAACTTTTCAAAAGCTCAAATGTTTTGCTTTTACAGTTTTTCTGGTAGGTATCTATAGTGATCAGACCGAGCTTGTGAAAACACTGGTTGCGAATTACCACAAATAGTCTTACTTCTAGAAAACTAATCCCATCTCTGAAAGTACAAACTGCAGTTGTTTGCAAAAGTTTTGGCACCCCTAGTCCCCTACATACAAATACTATGTTTTATGTAAGTGAACACATCCTCTACAGAGAACACACTCCTGCACATTTTAATGCACGACTACTGTTTATTTACTACTTTTAACATACTGTAAAAAGTTCTGGTGCATTTTATATTTAATGTTTTATTTTTTCAGCCAATACATTAAAAAAGTGTGCTCTAAAATTTTGCAGAGAAAAATCAAGATGTACAACTTAAGTTATAAATATCCAAATAAATATGGAAAAATCATAAACATGTTCTATACAAATTTAGCAGCTGCCCAGTTGTTTCTGTTGTAAGTGTTTCAAGTCAAGTTTTCTGTTCTTTTCTGAGCGAGGGGAAACATGTCGAAAGTGTTGTAAATGCAAATCGACTGTGCGTTAACAGTGCAGCATATCGCTGCTGTCGGAAGAAAACCTTGTATCTCCATTTTTGATGTTTTTCAGTTTTTACATAATATGAAAATGCCTGTTATCCTTTACATTGTATGTACATCTCATGATGAATGGACTAAAGGAAATGATCCAAAATGACTTGGAAAAAATTCTGGTTCCACTGATTTACATTAAAAGTAAAGTATGTTTTGTCCTTCTCCTGTAAAGTTACCATTTTGGAGATACAAGGTTTTCTTCCGTCAACAGCGATATAGAGATTTGGTTAAAAAATGCTGGAGTTCCTTCAAGCTGGGACGTTCTTCAAACAGGAACTGTCCCTGGAAAACTGGTTAAATCAAACTGCATAAACTGCATATAACCAGTGCAATGACTGCGTTCCATTTACACCTGTTGGCTGCAGGTGCAGCACCTCTGCATTCTGCACTGACATAAAACACACAGTGTATATTATGTGCTTTTAGAACGCGAATCCTCCGCAATCAAAAGCATCAAAGTCGGAGTCGCCCTCGAAGTCGAAGCTGTTGAAATGAGGGGAGTCGACTGCCTGGCTGCAGGCGTGGTATGAGGTGCCCCCTCCGAGCTCTGAGAAAGCCGTGGAGTGAGTGATCTCGGGGGCCCGGGCAGCCATGCCAGAGGAGGGCGAGCAGGAGTTGAGGTATCCCAACGCCGATGAGGCGGCAGCTCCACCCATCAGTAAGCAGACCGCCCTGACAGCCCGGGCGTCACTGCTGTTGCCATGGCGCAGGCAGTCATTGGAGCGATGGGGCGGGACCACCGAAGGGCTGCGGCTTTGGCGCTGGCGTACGCTGCCTAGACAATACAGTAGATACATGAATCTCAGTCAGAGTTACTATGCAATCTGTAAACATGTGGACAGTAGCACAGGTTTGGTAAGATGGTTCTCCAAGGGTTCCTTAGTGAAGACAGTGGTTTTATGAACACTCAAAGAACAATTTGCATGATTAATAGTTGTTCATGGTTCTATACAGCACCAAAAAGGGTTCTACTACTGTTAATATGTCAAGCTTGTAACAACAGAAGAACCCTTTTTTGCTTCTAAATAGAAGTCTTTTCAAAAAGGTTCTATACGGAACCATGTAACACATTCTCCACCAATCTGAAAATCCATGCAAAGAACCCTTTAAGCATGCGAAGGGTTCTTTGCATGCTTAAAGGGTTCTTTGCATGGAATTTCAGATTGATGAAGAATGTGTTACAAGCAAAGAACCCTTTAAGCATGCGAAGGGTTCTTTGAGTGTTCATGGTTCTATATAGAACCACTGACTTTATTAAAGGATCCTTAGTGTAGTTTTGGCTCTATACTCCAGCACACTGCCTTTGAAATGACTACCACCGCCAGGTTTATTTGATATATCCAGGCTCCGCCCACAAATGTAGCTACTGTTGCTAGCTTAACAGAACACTGCTAAAAAATCCTATTAGTGTGTAATTAATATTAAAGAATACTTATTTTGTATACATGTGTTTATTGTACAGTTGATACTAAGAAAGCTGCAATTGTCCATTTTGTCTTGGCACAGATGTCTTTGTTGAGAGGCATGAATTGTTTTACAAGGCAGGGGGTTCTAACCCCCCCTTCACTCCTCATTGCTCACTAGCAGCCCAACAAGGAGTCACTACATTTCACACACACAAAGACAAAATAAAATATTTTGGAACATACATTTTTTATTCTGTTACTTAAAAATATTGAAGTTGATTTTCATTCCGCTGGTGGAATGGCCACTAGGGGGTGCTGCATAAAGAGGCTACTATCATAGCCTACATTGCTCAGTACTGTAGCATAGATGAATTTACTCTAAGGGGTTTGTTAGCAACATTTTCCCTGCATTGATAAAGTCAAGCTATTAGTGACAGTGAAGAAAAGAGACTTAGCCAGCAGCGCTAAAACCGCTAAAGCTAATGAACTTTCATCTTAACTTTGCAATTGAATGTTTATTTCTAAAACTTTGCTTACATGGCAATAAAAAAGTGTGGCTTTTCACTCGTGTACTAAATAAAGTACGTTTTAATTAATAACACAACATACTGAAAACTTTAAACAAAATTAGCTTGTGCGCTGACACACACAGTGACCTTTAAAGCTGTGAGGACTGTGGTCTATTTCAGAGCTAGAAGTTTGAATGGCCAAGTCGGTCAGTCAGTCCCAGAACAATCCCATTCAGCATCTAGACAAGACTAGACAAGACTGGAAGAAGCAGGAACTGAAAAAGGTACTGAAAGCAGCTGCATTACAGGCCTAGTATTACATGTGTATTCTGTGTTTAGAAAGGGAAGTGATTCCTTTATGGTTCATCAATAAAGACATGAGCAACATTCTGCACTTTAAAACAACACAATTTGCCAGATTACAGCAGTAAAATGACAAATACTGTCACTGAGCAAATACTTATAGACTGCTTGGTATAACATGGTATAATCCAGGGGTCGGGAACCCAAACATTAAGAAGAGCCATTTTTTCCTTTCAGTAAAAATGAAACCACCTTAGGAGCCACAATATTTTACGTCCACAATATTTTACGTACCATCTTGGCTGTAAATATGTCTCAGTATGAGCTAATGTGCTAGTATAGACTAAAAAATATAATATAAGCAAAAACGCAGACTTTGCTTTGAGCTGTCACTCAGCTATAGCTGCTTTTCTCGCATCTCCAGCAGGAAACTTTTCCTCAAAACCAGAACAGTTTCTTGTACAATGTCTCTCAACATTTACTAGGCTGAAGTCGCTTCTTATTCGCCAGATTCTTGTTCTAATTTTCCCTTTCCACCTTAAATAGTGCCTGAGGCACCAGAATGTAACTGCTGCACCATTTAAGGTGGAAATAAGAAGCTGGCAAGAAACTGACTTCAGCTTCACGACTTTTTAGTTTGGACAGTTTCTCATTGCAGATTAAACGTATCAGGAAACAAGCTAGAGTGATTATTAAGGTCAATTCATCTCCAAATTATCAATGTTCATTTTAAATCTCTCTCTTTGCCGTTTCATTAGCTACTAGCTAGGTGAGATTGTTGTCTGTGTTGCTATGGTGACCAGTAGTCTGTGCTGATCTTCAGGGTTAAAGGGTGAATTAGCAGTTCTACATTAACTCCAACTGTGTTGAACGATCAGCAGAGCTTTATTTTACTGTAAAGGAGGATTATTTTATTTTTACATAAAAATCTGATTATGCTGTTGAGCGACAACAGGGCAGTAACAGAGCCGCATGTTGCCGACCCCTGGTAAAATTCAATGTAATCCAATTACAGAGTTGACATTTTAATTGTTTTCACAGTTTAATATTCCATTAAAACTTGCTCACATACATTTGCTATTAAATATAATATTCTAAGTGATATTTCTTAAAGGTTCTTTAAATTTTGGCCCAAACTAGCAAATTAAAATACAAAGAACAGTGCTGCCACTTTGAGCTAAATAAGATTATGAATAACTATAAGTAGGTATACAATTTTCGTGCTATGCAGTGAAAGCGTTCTCTACAATTTAACCCAACTTTTAACTTATTTAACTTAAAACCTATTTTTTAAGACAAAGTCCATCCACATTGTGTTATTGCAGAACAGTTGCAGAATATGCTTTCTAAGGTTTCTTGATCTCTTGAGGGTCCTTACACTTTCACAGTGAATTATGCCACTTTCGCCACATTTGTCCATAGAAAGCCACCAATTTAATGTGGAATTAAAAGGGGAAATCCATTGAATTCTCAAAATTTCTGCATAATTTAAACATTGAGATGTAAACAGAGTGGTTCAGAGTGGTTTGGTGTGAAACGCTGTGTTCTAGAGAAACTTACAGAGTCAGAATTGTTCACAGTGGTGGTGATAGGAACCAGACATCCACCTCTAAAACCTCCCTTACAGAAAGTTATTACATAAACTAAAAGATGTAAACAAAACTCTAAATCCTTTCATGGTGGAGGGATACATGCAAGGCGTTGTAATGCAAAATAGTCCTGAAAGAAAATTAATTTTTTCAGATTTTTCACTATTTTCCTATCATCAACATTCCATATAAACTCAGAAGACTCGTGTATGTTCACTGGTGGTTTTGCATAGTAAATAAAATGTCTATATTTGTGTTGTAGTCATGGCGACCCCTGGTTCCTATCACCACCACTGTAAAGACATCTGAACTATTTCACACCAAACCACTCTGAATCACTGTGTTTACATCTCACACTCTGAATTATGCGGAAACAATAATACAAAAAACACAGAATTCCCCATTAATGCTGCATTCAAGTGGTGTCGGTTAATGAGTTTCCCACCAGGAGGCACCACATGATCGTCCTTCAGTCAGGTACATTAACATTGTTTACTTCCCACATGAGTCACGTGATCTTTTCATTCCTCCCAGGAGGAAAGTGCCAGTTTGCACCTGAAAGCAGCACAACACAGCGCTTTGAGACTCACCTCTGCTTTTGAACGAGTTCTCTCTGGATTGGGTTCGTGGGGAGTTGAGTGGTTTGTCGCTGAAGTTGGGGGAGGGGGGTTCTTTCTCAGTGGGGGTGTCTGGCAGGGGGTCTCTGTCAGTGATACAGGGGACAATGCTTTGCTGTCGCTGCAGGGTCAGTGGTGAAGTCACACCCTAAAGAGAAGAGAACAGATATGCTAGAAATGCAGTGAAAGCTTGTATATACTGTATATAACTGACTATAATACAACATAGAGCGATCAGCCATAACATTAAAACCACCTCCTTGTATCTACACTCAGTGTCCATTTTATCAGCTCCACTGACCATATAGTTTCACTCAGTAGTTCTACAGTTACAGACTGTAGTCCATCTGTTTCTCTGCCTACTTTGTTACCCTGTGCTTCAATGGTCAGGACCCCCACAGGACCCCCACAGAGCAGGTATTATTTGTAAGTAGATCAAACACAGCAGTGCTGCTGGAGTTCTTAAACACTGTGTCCACTCACTGTCCACTCTATTAGACACTTCTACCTTGTCGGTCCACCTTGTAGATGTAAAGTCAGAGACGATAGCTCATCTGCTGCTGCACAGTTTGTGTTGGTCATCCTCTAGTCCTTCATCAGTGGTCACAGGATGCTGCCCACAGGACGCTGTTGGCTGGATGTTTTTGGTTGGTGAACTATTCTCAGTCCAGCAGTGACACTGAGGTGTTTAAAAACTCCAGCAGCACTGCTGTGTCTGATCCACTCAGACCAGTGCAACACACACTAACACACCACCACCACGTCAGTGTTACTGCAGTGCTGAGAATGATCCACCACCCAAATAGTACCTGCTCTGTGAGGGTCCTGTGGGGATCCTGACCACTGAAGAACAAGGTAACAAAGTATGCAGAGAAACAGATGGACCACAGTCTGTAACTGTAGAACTACAGAGTGAAACTATATGGTCAGTGGAGCTGATCAAATGGACAATGAGTGTAGAAACAAGGAGTTAATGTTATGGCTCATCTGATTTGTCACTGCTCAGCTAACTTGCAAAAAGTTTGTCCAGAAGCTATGTTGTCCCAGGTGGTTGCTAAGATGTTGCTAGGCCACTGCTATGGAATCCAAGAGGGTTGCTAAGGTGTTACTACGCTGTTGCTGTAGTATCCCAGGTGGTTGCTAAGATGTTGCTAGGCCATTGCTATGGAATCACAGATTATTGCTAAGGTGTTGCTACACGGTTACTATGGTATCCCAGGTGGTTGCAAAGATGTTGCCAGGCCATAGCAATAGTATCCCAGATGGTTGCTTAGGTGTTACTACGCTGTTGTAATGGTATCCCATGTGGTTGCTAAGGTGTTACTATGCTGTTGTTATGGTACGCAAGGTGGATGCTAGGCCGTGAAGACTCACCTCTTTGACTTTCCTCAGTAATTTCAGCCATTGACTGTGGATGAAAGCATATCAATGAAACGTCAATGCAAATGAGCAAGAAACGAAACAATTCAGCAGAATTCAGTTTTGAATTCAGTCTCTCCCTGGGCCAGATGTGCGCATGAGTGCAGGCACAGCATAAAATGTGCTTTGAAAAGGCTGTAATATGCGCCAACAGTGTGTCTGAAATTAATATTGTCAATAGAAGACTGCAATAAACTCAGAAATGAATGATGTTAATAAATAAATTAATAAATGAAGTTTTTCACACCTGGACATTCTACAGGGGTGTAATTCTACTCAAGATAAAAAGCAGAATTTGTGAGGCAATAGCGCAGACTGTGCGCATATACTGCAGCCACAACAAGGCACATTTTGTGCTGTGTCTTCTTACACATTTACATCTGATCCTGAGAGTTTGAACAGTTTTACTCTGATGGTCAAGGCCTGTGTCTTTGTCTAGCTGCCGCATCTGCTGTAGTTAAAGGAAGAACCGGCCACCCCAAGTTGCTTCAAATTTAGCAGAATATGTAATCAGCCGCACTTCCGTTGAGATTTATTTCTTATTAGTTATTTTTCAACATTTTTGCTTTTTTTTAATGTACTTTATCTAGTGAATTAGTCTTACTGCATTGGCCGATAATTTTACTCCTTCCAAGAATTATTTCTTGAAAAACTTCACAACATTATTCGCATTATTACTTGAAATAAGCTAAATTATTCGCCACTGGATTAAGACACTTTCATTGCATGAAATAAAGTCCCAGGAAACATAGTGTAAAATATTAAAACTGCTTCTGTCATATTAAAAATAAATATGAATGAAACAAAAACAGTGAATGTCGTTAAACCCTGCTGATAAGACCTATCTTAGAACTCTATGGGCGTAGCCTAATATTCTAATGAGCAGTGTGATTGACAGGCCTCAGTCCATCACTCCCAGCCTAAAGCAGAACTAAACACAGCAATGTGAATGAAGTAGAGGTACTTGAGTGAAACGTGGTGCTGTAGACCCCGTTGTGTCCACTCACTACAATATAGAGAACCTTAGTGAAGGTTCTTATTCACTTTACTGCTGGACCTTCATCCAGGGAACGCTGGCATGGCCAGTTGAATAAACAAAGAGACGAATGGACCTTCTTACTCAATTATGCTTGCTTGTTTAGCTTTCACTTGGTGGTTAGCTTAAGTCTCTCAGACTCAGAGAGATCGAACACAGTTCCGTTAAAGCTGTGTGGGCGGGTCAAACCACATCAGCCTTGTAATTGGTGAGAATACTGCTTACGCATGCATGACCCAAGATTAGGACTGCCCTGTTTACATCGAAAGATGAGAATTTTGGAAAATACATCAGCCTTTTAGTGGACACTGGAAAGTTATTCACAGGACGTACATATATTGTGCACTCACAAAAGCAAGATTAACTTAAATAGAAAGAAAATAGGGTTTCCTGGGGCTTAAAAACTATTAAAAAGTCTAGAAATAAATAATATAATCTTAAATAATCGTACAATATTCTTGCAACAGACTACATTGTTTGACTAGATTTAAGATTTCACTTGCCAAAATATCTTTTCTTTGCAGTGAAAACAACATCCAGACAGGAATAAGTGGTCATTTAATCACTTTAAGGCATAAAAATTATTTTGACAAAACTTAACAAATCACAAATCTCCAGAAAGCGTAAGAACCGTGAGCTCCGACTGACCTGCAGTCATCAGGGTTGTCTGAAAGCAGCAGTAAGAACTTGTCCTGGGGCAGGATAAGGGCGAAGCAGCAGTCCCTGCGCCCTCCCGGGGGCAAACGGGGCAGATCCAAGATCTCCTTGCCCTCCACTATGGAGTGGCACTCATTCTGTAGCACCACCACCTGGTCGGGAGGAGAATCTGCGTCTTTGCACACGAACAGACTCCCTTCTACAGTCAGCACCACATACTTCTCCTTCCACTGCTTGAACATGAAGCCACCTGAGAGAGTGTGAGAGAGAGAGAGAGAGAGAAAGACAGAGAGAGAGACAGAGAGAGAGAGGATAAACTACTGATTTATATGCTTTTTACTCGTCTTATCAGCGCTTATATCCAAAAGTATTCAGTATCTCTATCTATCTATCTATCTATCTATCTATCTATCTATCTATCTATCTACCTACCATGACATTTTCCAACCTCTCGTTATCCCTTAGAAACAGGCTGATTATTTTTACTGTTTAAGACTGAAATATGTAAAAGAGCTCTGTTCTGATTGGTTGCCTCATTCAAAAGCAGTCCAGGCTGAAACACTCCATATAACTTCAGTGTGAGTGGGCAGGATTGAAGTGCTGAAGGCTGAATAAGTGGATATATGTAAATGTGTTGACTTTTGTGACATCACAAAAAAACAAAACAGATTTAAACTGGACTGCTTTTGAATGAGGTAGCCAGTCAAAACAGAGCTCATTTGCACATTTTAGTCTTAAAGATAGAGTAAAATTTCTATATATGGACAGTTTCCTCCCTTTCCTGACATAAAAAAAAGTTTAATAAAGGATGTAAACAGTGCTAAACTTTCAAAAAGTTACATTCACTACCCACTCATGCAATCCTTATATGGAAACTAAGCTGCAAAAACATTCAGCCTGCAATTGTTTAACCCCACCCATTCATGGTGACATTATAAGAAGTGTTTCAGCCCAGAGTGAGGCATGCTACAGAGCAGCCAATCACAACAGAGCTCATTTACATACATCGGTCTTGAAGGTGCAATAATAAAAACAGCCTGTTTAATTCTAAGGGATAAAGAGAGGCTGAAAAATGGTCACGCAGAAATTAATTATGGCTATTTTTGTAAATATAAGATCACACCTCATGTTTTCAGCTTGTACTGTCTCCATAGAAAAGCACTGACCAATAGAAGGTCACATGAGCCTAAGGTCACCATGCTCAATGCCAAGCGTGGACTAGAGGAGTATAAAGCCCCCCAGCATTGAGCTGTTGAGCAGCAGAACTGCGTTCTCTGGAGTGATGGAGCTCCATCCAATACCTTTGGGATGAGTTGGAGTGATCCAGAGCTGACCAGCCAACATCAGTACCTGACCTCACTAATGCTCAATCAAATCCTCACAGCAATGTTCAACATCTAGAGTAAAGCCTTCCCAGAAGAGTAGAGGCTGTTACTGCAGCAAAGCTGGACAAACTCACTATTAATACCCTTCATTTCAGAAGAAAGAAGGAAACGCTGGTGTCTACAAACTTTTGGACACATAGTGGCTCGACTAACCCAGTAATCTCAGCTGACTTTTAATTCCAGACCAAACGGCCATATCAGAATTAAGAACATCTCAATATCCTGATGTCCTCGTCTGACAAATGTAAATAAATGTCAGCTTGCGTCACCATCGGGAGAACAAAGCGAAGCAGACAGATGATGCCCTGGCCTTCTATTGACATACTTTAACAGCTATACACGGAGAGCACATGTGGATGGCTCATAGTCCGCTCCATTTGTTTTTCGTGGGGATTACTGAAGTCTCAGCCAGGTGGATTAATCCCTGAGCCTGCTGAGGAAGCTCCCTGACCCAATAGCGTTCGACCATTTTACAGAAATACTACAAAAGAACAGAGCAATTGATATCAGTCCAGTTTGGTTTGACAACTGACACTGATACAATTAGCAGACAGTCAGAAGTGCAGGCTCGAACCTGTCGTTGCGGAGGGTAAATTGAACGTGCATGTAATATTACGCAACTAACAGCGTAATTAAATGTTTAATGACGTAATTACATTTGAATAGCTCAGCAAAATGAACATAATTTGTGCCACAAAAGGTTCTACCAGAAAAGAGATCTTCAAATCTGGGCCTTGAATCCAGTTTCCAGTCCTGGATTTTGTAACCACTGGTTAACTAACCTGATGTTGATGTAACCGATTGGCCACCTAGTGTCATTACAAAACCGCTGACTAGATTTTAAGACCTTTATAACCACTTTAACCTCCCTAAAGAGCCACACTGCAGAACATTATATCATAGCGAGTGAAAACATCTTAGACATAGTCAATATATCTAATGTTTCTCATCATGAGACTGTGGTGAGATTATTCTGAGATTATTTAACCTGTTTCTATACATTTTTATTTGTTTTTTTAAGTAACTTTATCTTATGAAAGTGTCACTTCTTTAGCAGATCAGTTTATTTGTTTTGAGAAACAATAAGAAATAATGCTAATAAAATGATCTGCCTATAAGATAAATGTTACTTCTAACATTTAAAATATGTCTACAAATAACTTAAATAGTCTTATAATATTTTTACAATAATCTCATAATGAGAACTCTTAGATATATTGACTAAATTTAAGTCTAAGTTTGTCAGTGTAAGAGCGTAAAGGAGCTATAACAATTTAAGGGCTCTTTTTTAAAGCCTTTACATTATGCTGAGGTTCTAAAGGTACTGAAGGTTCTGAAATGCTCTTTCTTCCATGGGTAAAAGACCCTTTTTGGCATCTTTAAGGGTTATTTATACCCTAAAATATTTTATTTTATGCTGAAATCATGACTGTGAACAGTGTAGGTGAGTTTTCGTAAATCATACACACGCAGAAGTTAGATTAGTAGGTTATTTGCTTGAAATGCAGTGGGACACACATGAGTTGTGGGATTTTAGACGCATGTTAAACATGGAACTCTAATCTGTTCAGAGCACACAGATCTACCAGATACAGATGAGAGAGAGGCTGAAAACACCACGCAGGAAATCTGCACATGCACAAACATGTAGGCTCTATAGAACGTTGTTCTAGCTCTATATTTTCCCACTGAATCTTATATAATCTCTGAATCTGTTCAGATATTCTCCACATGAGCTTTCCTGACATTCAGACAGGAGTGTTTAATATAATAATGTTCTGGTTTAAACATGTAAGACGTCCATTAAATAATCAAAACAGCTCTAAACCAAATTTAGTGTGAACGACTTCAAACTGAATCCAACAGAAAATCTGAACTACACTTTTAAAAAAGGGTTCTATAGTAAAAGCGGTGGTCATATATAGAACAGTGAACACATTTAATTGAATTTAAGATGGCCGTTTGTTTCTCCTCTAGAATGGAAAACCTGTTGAACATGGTTCTTTAAAGAAAAAATGGTTCTACATACCACCAAAAAGTGTTCTGTTACTATTACAAGTCAAAGAAGAACTAGAAGAAATGCCATAGAAGAACCACTTTTGGTTCCATAAAGGATTATTCAATGGACAGTTCTTATAAGAAGTATTTTGGAAAGCTGAGTTTACAGAACCTCACAATGCTTTTCCTAGAACCTTTATGTTTACTGATATTTTGGACCAGTAATATGGAACCAATCAAACTCTACAGCTAATGATGATAGAGTAGGTGCTTCCAAACTGGTGCTACATAAAATGGTTTCTTTCTATCTAGGAGAACCTTATAGTTTAAAGAACCTACCAATTTCCAAGTTTCCAAAGCAAGTTCTCCTAGAATTGAACAACCGTGCCAAGAGGAACCATTATTTAAGAGTACATTCTTAACAATAAAGGTGCCAAAAATAGTTCTTTCTGCAATCACATAGAAGAACCACCTTCATTGTTTGGTTCTCTTTGCAAATGTGTTGTGTAGAAAACCGCATAATGAAAAGGTTGTACATGGAATGTGAAGGTTCTTTAAACCATTTTCAGGTTCTTCACACATCTCTTTTTTCAGACATGGTTCTTTAGGGCACTGGTTCTCAGTCCAGTTCTCAGAGCCCCCTACATGGGCCAAAACTAGTGAGAGAGCAGCCCGAAGACCGGTTTGAGAACCTGCTTCAGGGAACCAAAAGTGGTTCTCCACAAGGCATCGCTGAAGGAACCCTGTAGACCAATATTTCCACAGGAATGCAGAACTTGTGCAGCAGTTATGATCATCCGGATGGCAAGAATGAAGGGAGACAGAAGGCAATTAAAAAATGTCCAGTTTGGATCTGTCCATCAGGAAAACGGACAAATGAAAGAAGCGGAATGGAAGAGAAGATGGTGCCAGACTCACCGTACTTCTTTAGGAAGCCTCGGCGCACCCCTGCTGCGGTCATGTCTGCGGTCAGCCAAGCAGAGAAATCACAAAGACCCACGGCTTCAGGGTGCACTCTCAATTTGTCTGTGTGCAATAGAAAGAGAGAGAAAGAGAGAGAGAGAGAGAGAGAGAATAATCCCTACTCATTTAGGACATTCCAGAAGCCAGGGCTCAATCCGGGAGTGCGGAGGGAGGCATGATGGGATTGCTGCCGCCGCTGCTGCTTCTAAGGGAGAGCTGCACATAAACATCACATACACCCGTCAGCCGCCGTAATCATAATCGCAATCATAACCCGCAGCAAATCCCACCCAGGCCACCATCAGAGCTTTCATCATCCGACCCCTCGCCAGATGTCATAGTCAATTCCTTCTCACACTCTCTCACTATGATCAAAACAGCCAGGCGCTCGTTGATAACGGCGAGTGTCTATTTATGTAATAGATTCACTGACCCAGAAAATATATAGATATGTATATATTGGAGCGGTTCTGGTCCTGCACTCTTAAACATAAAGCTTCCTCAGTGGTGTCGTGGCAAATCTCTTTAAAGATGAGAAAAACAGAAAAGCCACAGGACCACAACTGACCCCTTAACAGGCTGTGGGCCCACCAGCAGGCCCAAAGCTTTATTACACACCAGTTTGCATTTAGAGGGGAACTCCACCAATTTTTCAAAATTACTTAATCGTTCAGTGGTAAACAAAATCATTCAGAGGGGTTCGGTGTAAAATGCACCTTTTTAGAAAAATTTACTGAGCCAGAATTGTTCACCATTATAGTACTAGGAACCAGACGTTGTTATGCCTTCACTACAAGTATCACCATTTTATCTGCTATAAAGAATGACCAGTGAACTTTCATGTGTCTTGTAAGGTTTTACACTAGAAAAAATACATTTTCTTCGGACACCCTATGTTATGACTGGGTTGGTGGCGTTGCGCCGCACGGTGTCAACAAAACTCAGAGCTTATGTGAGTAACTTATTCATAAGAAGAGCTGTGATAGATCACAGTTACTCCCTGCTGGTTAATTGCTCAGAGTGGTGGTGAACCGCGCTGAACCAGGAGGCAAAAATAAATGGAGAAAATACATTATGGTGCGTTTTTTTCAGTTGTCGTTACAAATACCAGAAATCCTGCAGTGGCTAATTGTTTTGAAGCTACACACAAAAACCGAGGTCGAACAACTTCACCGACGATGACTAACATTATTCAAGACCTGTGAAAAAATGCAAAGTGGATTTCTTCAAATGTGGCTGCTAAAGTAAACTACTGCCCCCTCTGTTGTATTTTCCACCACAGAAACTGGAATCAAGGTAAGAAGAGTGAAATAAATTAGTCGTCGTTAGCCACCGTGCATACACCGATCAGGCATAACATTATGACCACATCCTGGTCCATTTTATCAGCTCCACTTACTATATAGCTGCACTTTGTAGTTCTACAGTTACAGACTGTAGTCCATCTGTTTCTCTGCATACTTTGTTGGCCCCCTTTTACCCTGTTCTTCAGTGGTCAGGACCCCCATGGACCCTCACAGAGCAGGTACTATTTGGGTGGTGGATCATTCTCAGCATTGCAGTGACACTGACGTGGTGGTGGTGTGTTAGTGTGTGTTGTGCTGGTCTGAGTGGATCAGACACAGCAGTGCTGCTGGAGTTTTAAACACCTCAGTGTCACTGCTGGACTAAGAATAGTCCACCAACTAAAAATATCCAGCCAACAGCGTCCTGTGGGCAGTGTCCTGTGGGCAGCGTCCTGTGACCACTGATGAAGGACTAGAGGATGACCAACACAAACTGTGCAGCAACAGATGAGCTATCGTCTCTGACTTTACATCTACAAGGTGGACTGACAAGGTTGGAGAGTCTAATAGAGTGGACAGTGAGTGGACACAGTGTTTAAAAACTTCAGCAGCACTGCTGTGTCTGATCCACTCATACCAGCACGACACACACTAACACACATTCATAACCATTTTGTGTAATAACAAAATTGGTTCCCCTGTAGTTACTGAATAATACGCCTGGGATGTTAAAGAACGGCTAGAAGAAGCTCCTGGTGAAACTACCAGAGTTCTCCACAGAGACCAAATTGATATGAGCTCATGTAGGTCCCCAGCAGGTTGAAGATACATTTCATTGAACAAATACGTTAAAATTCATTGATTACACATATTTGCAGTATGAATAATCAAGCGTGCGTTAACAAATATACATAATAAATGAGAAGGAAGCCCAAATATGGCCAATAGGATCAAGTCTAGTGTCCTCAGGATGGGCTAGTCTCCTTCAAGGCCACTGTACAAAGATTCATTGTAGCTGTTATCATCTAGCTGGGCTACGGTGCAGAAGATAAAAGATAAAGCCTGGGCCTGATGTGTGAGGAGCAGCCTGCTCAGTACAAAACAGCACATCTCTTACATAAAGAGAGAGCAGAAGAAGTTCACTCTAAATTAGAGTAACATACATTACTCTAATCACTCTCTCCGCAACCAATGGTTACTAGAAAACACCGTTAAACTGTAGAAAACGTTCTTCACATCATACAGCTTGTCCTTAAACTCAGGCTTCCTTTGAATTCCTGATGCTTTTTCAGGTTGAGAAATTCAGGTTGTAAAATTTAGGTTGAGAAATTAAGGTGGTATCTAATCACTATTACAAAAAATCAAGCATCAGCTTATGTCTGTACGAAGAAAGCATTAAGAATTCAGGTTCAACAGCACAAATTCAGGCTCAGCATCATGAATTCAGATTCAGCACCACAAATTCAGGTTCAGCGTCACAAATTCAGGTTCAGCATCATGAATTCAGATTCAGCATCACAAATCCAGGTTCAGAATCATGAATTCAGGTTCAGAATCATGGATTCAGGTTCAGAATCATGAATTCAGGTTCACTGTCACAAATTTAGGTTAAGCGTCACAAATTCAGGTTCAGTCTCACAAATTCAGGTTCAGCACCACAAATTCAGGCTCAGGGTCACAAATTCAGATTCAGCATCACAAATCCAGGTTCAGAATCATGAATTCAGGTTCAGCATCATGAATTCAGATTCAGCACCACAAATTCAGGTTCAGTGTCACAAATTCAGGTTCAGAATCATGAATTCAGGTGAAGTTTAGCTGACGTCAACAAATGGCGTAAATGATATTACAGATTTTTACTGTTTCAATGTGGAGTTACAAAGTTAGCAATGATATGGAACCCACAGATTTACAGCAAACAAGCTTTGTGGAGTTATAATGCATTGTTTATGATACGACAACATTGAACTCACTGACTTTACAGCTAACAGCACTAGAGCTGCGGAGCTGCTTTTGCTAGAAAAATAGTAAAAGCAGCAAATGCTGTGTTTTGGATGTTGGTATGATCTTTTTGACAGCGTGAGACTATATAGAATCTACTGACTCTGCTAACAATGCTAACTCTGTGGCATTTATTTTTTTGGAGGCCAACAATTTCTTTTATGACAACAATGACATCCCTCTATTGCACAGTGTTGCCATATGGCAACAATTACTTTATCTCAATATTACTAAAGGTAGTAAAATAAAATCCATGTTTTAATTGGGGGAAAAAGGGTCTTTTACTATGAAAGGACAAATACTCAGTGATATCACATGACCAGGAAATCCTGTTTACACTCCTTTTTTAATGGACACTTGACACTGAGTGGGTCATTGCTCAATATTTAGGCAAAATTCCTTCAAGAAAAAAATGTAAATGCTATCTGGGGTAAGTTAACTTTTAATTTTGGTCATTAAATCTGTTTAGATGTGATACCTTTTTTTGGTAAAATGGTAAAATGAATTTGTTGCCATATGACAACTCTATGCGAATATGTAAGTGATCTTTGTGTTTTCAGCCTATTAGACTAACAGGCTACTCTGAGACTATGTTTACAACTTTTGACTACATTTAAAAGGGAAAAAACACCATTTGCATTTTGTAATTTCAGATATTCTGTAACTGTAACACATTATGTAGATTGTAAATGACAACACTGGAAATCATAGTTTTAGCAGAAGGAATTGGGAAATCCCACCCAATTTATATGTTGGTCCACTTTTGTGTTCATTTCTAGTCAATGAAAAAAATGTTGATGATGACTAAATGGAATTAATGATATTGAATGAGAATGATTAATTAATATTAAAAAGGAAATGCATTTGTTTTTTGATCAAGAGAATGATGTCCCCATGTCTTATTACAGGTGTATGTGACTTATCATATCACTTATCATGATGTTAGTATTGCCATACATTCCAAATAACAACCAAAATTATATTAATTTATCTGTGTTTTAAATTTCACAAAGTATACGTTGGATTTGTCTTCTTTTCAATAAAAGGATGTTTTTAGAGAAAAATTCGATTTTATGTTACTTTCCACGATTGTGCACTGTTGCCATATGGCAACAATTTACCAACTGCTTAAATAATTAACATTTTTTTCACGTATTTCCATTACACACCGATCAGGCATAATATTATGACTACGCTCCTGGTTTCTACGCTCATTGTCCATTTTATCAGCTCCACTTACTATATAGGTGCACTTTGTAGTTCTACAGTTACAGACTGTAGTCCATCTGTTTCTATTTGTTAGCCCCCTTTTACCCTGTTCTTCAGTGATCAGGACCCCCATGGACCCTCACAGAGCAGGTACTATTTGAGTGGTGGATCATTCTCAGCACTGCAGTAACACTGACGTGGTGGTGGTGTGTTAGTGTGTGTTGTGCTGGTCTGAGTGGATCAGACACAGCAGTGCTGCTGGAGTTTTTAAACACTGTGTCCACTCACTGTCCACTCTATTAGACACTCCTACCTTGTCAGTTCACCTTGTAGATGTAAAGTCAGAGACGATAGCTCATCTACTGCTGCACAGTTTGTGTTGGTCATCCTCTAGTCCTTCATCAGTGGTCACAGGACACTGTTGGCTGGATATTTTTGGTTGGTGGACTATTCTCAGTCCAGCAGTGACACTGAGGTGTTTAAAAACTCCAGCAGCACTGCT